GGTGCTTAAAATTATAAATTACATAAACTACTGTCACATACGGAAAAGAAAGTGATCACTTATGCATAACAATTGATTGCATATTTAGTAAAATTAGCGTAGTATAGTTAGCATATCGGTTATATTTAAAAGATCAGGTATATTTAATATATAGAACAGAAACAACAATCGAGCATATAGTGCATACTGTATTTAGGCAATTAATAGGAATAACATAATTAGCATATAATTAGCATATATTTGTATTATATAAAAAGGGCGATAATTTTTATATTGCAAAAATGTATCTTATAATCGCTCTAAATAAATACTTATCGTTATCTAATTTCTGCGCCTCTTTGGAGTGCAGTAATTATCGGATTAAAATGAAATTTAGAGATTCTATTTAACCTTCTAAAACCCGCTTTTACTTGTCTACTATAAATTCTACCCAGCGTCATGCTACGCAAAATTACGGTAATTTTACAACCCTAAACATGTAATATTATCCAATTAGCTAGTTTTTTTTTCCGAATATTCCGTTATTTCACCATATTATAGAATGTGAATTTCGGATAATATAAAAATATCAGAAGTATCAGATTTTATAGATTTATATCGGATTTTCGTCTTGATTTGAATTTTTATTTCGGATCACCTTATTAAATCCGAAATATTTCAGAAACGAAAAAAAATTTCACCCGCAACATTAGTTTTTTTATTAGACTTAAAACTAATAATGACACCGCCTATATTAAAATTATATTTCACAAAACTCATTATAGTTGTACGATGTTATATTGTTATAATTGGATCAATTTTATTAAAAAAATTTGGATGAAACAAATTGGAAAAGTACATGTTTTTTCAAATCAAAATAATTTTTGTATTAAAAAATTCAATAAATGCTTTTCTAGTCTCAGTATAAAGTTGATTATTTATAAGATTTAATTTTTTTAAAATCTTATTTGTGCGGTGTGCCTCTATAAATAGCATCACTCCAATAGTCCCGAAATAAAGTTTGTAAGTGCATTTGCCAATGTTTCGCCCTCAGAACCAATTTCATTGTTAGAAATGTCTAACGTCATCAAAGTATTATTGATGTCAAGAGCCCTTGCTAACGTTTTTCCATCCCCCGAGTTGAGTTTATTATGATGGAGGTATAATAAAGTCAATAAATTATTTGAACCAATAGCATCTAATAATACTGTTCTTCCTTGCGTATTAAATCTATTAGATGAAAGATTCAAAACTTTCAAAATTATATTTTTGCAATGGGCCCTTTCTAATAATTTTTAGACCATCGTGATTTTCTGAAAAATCTAGCGATATTATTGTCTTGTTTTTGTAAAGAGCATTGTCAAATAATTGGCTCCTCTATCGTCGGTTCTTATTGGAATTCATCGGTTTATTGAAATCATCTGTTCTATTAGAATCGTCAGATGGTGTTGATGTGAAGAACTATTGCTAATGCTTTCTCTTGCAATTGCATTTACTTCTTCAGATTTAAGATAATGTCGTGCTGGAAACCAATATCCTGAAATAACCAAAATGCAAATGTTCATACAGGGACTTCTTCCAGATCGATCTTCTTTATCACTAATCCAATTGTTTGCAACACATAAAGAAGTCGATGTGGTGTTTTTAAGCATTCTCTCCTTCAGAACTGAGACGAAGATTCAACAAGTTAAGAAAAACTAAAGTATCTTTTTCCGGGTCCCCGCTTCTGTTTCTGGATCTACATCGATTCCAAATCGACTCCTACTTCTGTTATTCCTTTTATCTTCTCTTGTAATTGTTATATTTGAAAAATTAATTGTTGTTTTCTAATTATAATTTCTTCTATTATTACGATTTTTTCTTTGATTACCAGCTCGTTTCTTGCAATAAAATGTTCTTGTTTTCCGCAGTTGTTGCAAAAAGCTTTATTATAAAGTCCACCTGATAAAATGTTCTTTAATCCATGGCTAAGTTTACTTCCATTTCCATTAAGCTCTATCATAACTAATAAAGTTATGATGAAAGAACTAACTAATCTGTTGTTATGTCCTAGCCAATTTTTTACACCTTCTTTTAAATCACCGGAGGCTGATATAATATGGTCGGAATATTTGAATAGAAGGTCTTGACTATTTTGGGAATAATTTTCTTAGTGTCCGGATCGTAAGTGGATGAAAGTACATCGCGTAGTTGGTGTAAAGAAGAATAGTGAATTCCCAGTACTGTGGCGAAGCATGAACACGTGGTATTAGCGATTGAGGACTTAACCAGTTAACTATTCGGCGCTTAGGAATTAACTTTCTTTCGTTTTCGTTTAATTCTGAGGTCAATGTTAGGAAACTTTTTGGGTTGCGAAAGTTTGGTTTGCTCTTTACACTATTCGCAGTTTACAAGGGCGTGAAAATAAGTTCTTATGCAGTGTTTTAGACGAAATCTAGAGGTTTCGTCACAGATGAAAGACGAAACTAGGTTTTTATTAAAAAATGTTTGAAAAGACGCGAAAATACGAAACTGACAAAAGGCGACGAAACTGATGAAAGAAGCTGATGAAAGGTGACGAACTGATGAAGCCCCCTAATAATCCAAAATTTGGTGTAACAAACCCCTAAATCAACACGTTTTTCGATTTTCTTTTTTGGAAACCAATCACATTGTAAATTATTACGAAGCAAAAAGGGAAAAACAAATTAAAAAATACAAGAAACGAGTTCTAAAGCACTAATTAAAAATGTCGGGGGAGTATGTTTACCTATAATACTTGCCATATCCTTAACCTCGAACTTTTCCAAAAGAGGAAATCGAAAAATGGGTTGATAATACTGATATCAGTCATCAAAACAAAACATCCTAACCGTAGCGGCAGGATTGGTCAATTAGGGGGTGTAACGGTCTGGGGCTTTCAATCCCGGTTGCCAAATTTAGCCTTGGACCGTAAGCATACAAAGGTAATCATTCAGCTAACTGCGTACTTGATCATGCGCTTGGAGTACCGTGGAAATTCAAGACTTGTAGTGTACGTCTTGGATCAGTTATGTTGATTTTATTTTATTATTACGAAATAAGTATTTATTGCATGATACGTATATGTATATTCTCCCTTTTACCCTCCAGCGGAAGTTGTCCTTTAAATACATTCTTTTCCGCTAACCTTTGCAACAATTTCCACGATAGAAATTAATTATGACCGATTACTTCATTTCTCTGATCTCTACTAAATCCTACGTATTATTTCCTTCATTATTTCCTTCTTATTACTGAATTCAATGAACGTTTAGCATCTATTACTTAATTTTCATAATGAATTACTTCATAATTTGCAAATTCGCTCTTGAATTAGGAAAATGTAGTCAGGACTGGGTAACCGTATTGAAAAGTAATAATAGAGTATAAGGTGACGTCGTATGTCATAATTCACGTGGTGCAGATCAGATCGACTTTGTCGGATGACTTCTCCCGTGACAGGGGATCGCTACTTGCGATAAATTATAATTTTTTTAAAATGATTATTCACGTAACGGCATTCTCAATTATGAGCAGTACTAAAACCTTTGTTTTATATTATTTTATATTATCAAATACACAAAATATATTCGATTCATTATATTTATCTGCCTGTCCAATATCAAATATTTAATTACTAATATTTAACGATAATAAAAACTTTGCAATTTTGCTTTGCAATACTCAAAACTCGCATTTACATATTTATTAATTTAACACACATTATGTGAGGTTTAATGTTTCTGTTAATCAAGAATTATTCAAAAATAACGACTTTGCATTTAAACTATATAGTCTTTACGGGAAGTTTGTCTTTGCGAAATTGCAGGGAAGCTTAGAAGTTTTGTCTTTCACGGGAGGTTTTTTGTCTTTCATCATTTTATAATAATAGTTTCATCTAACAATACTATGCACAACATAGTCATCAGTAAATTACGCAACTCATTTCATTAAGTTATACACATACAATTTAGGACGTTAAAGAAGAATATTGGCTTAGATTACAAACTATAGCACAGCACTAGATCACTTACCCAGAGCTTTTGTTCTTGCAGAGATCATGCCATGTCTTTTATCAGATTTCACCTTCGTCAGGGGTTTCGTCTTTTGTCATTTTTTAAAAAATGGTTTCGACTAACACTATTCGAGACTATAATCTTTAACTATGGTCTTTAAACAAAAACTGGTCTAAAGACTCGGTCTAGAGATTAGTCTAGAGATCGGTCTAGAGATCAATTTAAAGACTGGTCTAGAGATCAGTCTGGACCATGAACAGATTTTTTATTATAAAGACCGATCTTAAACTGGTCTTCTATCATATGAACTTAAACCAAAAGTTAAACACTCTTAAAACTGAACCGTGATTAAACCAATAAAGACCGGATCGAACCAAGCTAAAAATAGTCCAAGCTAGGCTAAACCGGACCGTTGACATCCTTAATTCTGTAATTATATTTGATAATGCAATATCGATATTATATATTTTTTTTTATTATAAACGTATATACTTTATGTATGTTTTTTTATACAGAAAAGAATATTTTTTTATAATTGTTTTAAAAGAAAAATGTTTGTATATAAAGTGATTTAATTTTGTTTCTACGTGATGTCAAATACGCAAAAAATTTTGTCATGAAATTGCTAAAATAACAATATTCAAATATTTTTATAAAAGAATTTACATGTAAATATACATGTAAATATTAAAAAAAGAAAGTCTTACTAGAAAAAAGTATTATATAACTAGCAAGAAACAAATAGTTTCTCGCTTTTTTTCTGTTTTCGGTAATGGATGATGTTTGGGAATTATTTTCAAGGATAATTTTGGTAATTAAAAAAAGTTCATCAGAGAGGTTTCATAAAGAATAAGTAATGTTAATTATACTATTCACCTATAAACTATTTACCTATAAATAAGTAAAAGAAAGAAAAAAACGGAAGAATTTATAATAATAATAATAATAATGCTAATAATATAAAACAAATATACATTTTAAAAACCATCATCAACATCACACTCATCACACCCTAAACCCATCAGATTTTTTGAGCATAAAACCTACAGTGCCTAAAATTTGCTTTGAACTCATTGCACTCATCAACAAACCCTTTTACCAAATCATCATAAACCAATTTTTCACCTTTTTCCCCAATAATACCTTCAGATTCCAATACGTCACTAAGAACGCAACGTAACGTGTATAGAGTAGAGCAAAAATCTTGACATATGCCTTCACCGACACGACCAGCCCAAGTACCCACCGGACATAATCTTTCTTCACATACAAAATTTGTTAATGATTGGTGGGTTGATAGGATTGACATAAGTTTTGGACAAATTCTTGGATTTATGGATTTTGATAATAATGTTGAACGAACTGAGAAATAGAAAAAAAAGTATTAATTTATCTCGAATATTTTAACAATACAAACATTAACAATTTTAGTAATTCATATTACAGTACATACAAGCATTCATTAAAATTTTTCCACAATCACCTTCCGGATTAAGTACCATATCACCTTCCATAATTTCAAGATAACCACCCGGTTTAACAACTCTACATAATTCTTGAATAACTTTATTTTGCCATTCGTCTTCGGTGAAAGCAGTTAATAGGAATCTCATATATACAAAATCAAAATAATTATCAGGGAATGGTAATCCTTCTAATATATTTGCAGTACGAAATGTTAAATTGCAAGGTTTTATTTCAGAAGGATAGATTGGGGATATGTCTATGCCAGTAAATGAAACTCTTGGATAATCAGTCTAAAATTAAATAACTTGTTAATATATGATAATAATAATGTGATAAAATGTGATAAAGATAGTAATTAAATAATTAAATAATTAAATTAGAAATGAAGCTTACCGACATATTTAAAAGCCAGGTGCCCGGACCGCAACTAAATTTGTGAAAAAAAAATCAATGCAAGGCAATAGATTAGATAAAATAAGTTAGAAAGATATATATATATATATATATATGTATATAGATGTATATGTATTATTTAATTATTTACCCGACATCTAGAACTTTGGCACCACCCCGATCTAGTAAGTCACTAACAGGAGACGAATAATTGCCTTGCCATATATAACAGAAAAGGAAATGTTGGATTTGAAGTCTATCAACTAATTATAAAAAAAAAGCAGATAATAAATTATATAAATTATATAAATTATTATTAATTATGTCATCTATTATATAATATTAATAACATGCATTAATCGAAAAGTCGAATGTACCTTCTTCATCATCATTTGGTAAAAAGTATTTAGAATTTTCATCATTATGAAACCTTCGTCCATTCGCGTACTTAAAAAGCTCTTTTTTCGTGCTTATATCAAACGAAACTTTTTTATAAGTATTATTATTTGATTTGGAATTTGTGAGACCCATTGGGTTAGATTAACCTATGAATTTTATTAGCACGCAGCTTTGTTGGTGAGTTTGATGGCAAGTTGTGATAAAAAATGATTGTCGTAAACTAGTTGGTAAATATTGGTAAAGGATTAAAGGTATTGTAACGAGAAAAATAAAAGGAAAGAATGCGATAAATTATTATAATTTCAAATATAAAATAATTCGATGGTTCACGAAACAATAAAAAAAAAAACAATAATAGCTTCAAGTCACGAATAAAAAAATCATAGAAGGTATTTTTAAAAAAAATGATGATTTTTGAAAAAGATGGAACCTTTCGCGAAGGACTTATATTTGTTTTTTTTTTTTTGAATGATTACTTTACATGATCTCGGATTTATTAATTTTGAGTCAATGGTTCGTGATTTACCCTTACATAATCTCGGATTTACCTGTTTTATGAGTTTGGATCGTAAATTTATTATTTGTTCTTCACCGTTACAAATACCGTTATAATAACCGTTACAGTAAATGGGTAATATAATGTTTATTAAAGTTGGTTACATGCGTATATGTCAATAAATTAGAATTATGTTGTGATTAGTGTTGAGAAACAATGGGGTGGCATCCAAATATGCGCTCAGAAATAAATAAACAAACGAAATAACCATGTTTTTGATTAAGATTTTTCAAGGGGCTTATTATTCTTGGAAATTAAACCTTTACAAGAATCTTTTCTTATCTTTTTGTTTGTTTCTTCATATTTCTTCATATTACAAACAACGGCTTAATTTGATCAAAATTTAAAACGGTCTCTGCGTAATATTTGTTCTCACGAACGCCTCAAGATCTTTGTGATCAATCTAGTGCTACACTAATATTTAGCCAGGACACGTCTGTAGACAAATTTCTTGAGATTTATTCATTATAACAACTAAAAAATGAAAGGGACCAGTTTGATGTATGCCAGAAAATGTTATTGCATTAACCTCACCCAATCAAATTCGGGTTTAGATGCAACTTCGCCATCGACAAAAAAGACTCTAATGCCGAACATGATATATGTATTCGTTATTGTAGAATTTGATATGTATTGTAGCATATAATATGTATTCTAGAATTTGATATGTACTGTAGAATTTGATATGTATTATAGCATATAATATGTATTCTAGAATTTGATATGTACAATAAAATTTGATATGATATACACTTATTACCAAAAGCATTTGTTCGTTCAATATTAAGAAATAGGATCTATTAAAAAAATCGGTACACATATAATATAAAATTTAAAATTCATAATATTAAACTCATGACTTAACTCATGACTTACCCGACTTATTCATGATTTACTCATGACTTTAGCCTGATAAATTTAAAATATGGCGAATACTTTTTTTGTAAAAGTATAGAAATTGAGATATACGTATGTATTATTCTAGAATAACATTCTTATTAGCTTATTAGAGAATATTTAATAGCATACATGAAGTTGCAAAAGTCATTTTAACCTGACATTTTTGACTTTAACGAATAATTATTTTGCAGAATGTAATAAAAAATAACCGGGATGTAAATAAATTAAACCCTGCATTAATCAAATGACTACGTAACAAACATTTAGCAATTTAAGATTGTGGATCTTTACTATATTATAAAAGAGATGAAAGTTACTAAATATTGTCATGCAATGGCTCATATCTTGATATCTATTTGTACATACTTATGCACGAATTTGATCCTCTTTTTAAACGATACTATTTACGTAAAATTCGAAAACGTCGCTTGAAACTATATATATTAATGTTATATTAATGTATATGTTAATATATATGCATATATATATATATAATATATATAATATATATTATATATACGTATATATATATATATATATATATATACTGTATATATATATATATATTATATATAATATATAATGTATATATTATATAAAAAATATTATTTTTTAAACCAGTAATAAAGATTTCATAATTCATTTTCTTTCATGCGTGACAGTGGCCTCTAAGCTTCTTGAGCCACATTTCTACTTTTATACAAATTATTCGGTTCGTCAATAGCTATTAATAGCGTGTTTTCCTGTCTGTTTTTTTTAGTTTATAAAAAACAAACATTTAATTTGGGCTTTTATGGTTAACTTTGATCGGTCCAAGTATTCCTTGTATAAAACATAAAATTATATATGTAGGAAGAACTTCATGCCTGGCATAAAATTACTAGAACATATGGCTTGTTTGTTTATACGTAAGTGTGTCAACACCACTTAAAAACTTTTAATATAAATCAAACCGGTATCCAATAAGATATCGCGGAATAACCCCTTACTAATTTACACTAATTTACCGTTCCTCTTATACATTTATTACTGCCCACTCCCTGTTATAATTCTCGTTCCATATGCATTATATCTGTCCCGCCAATCTCATGATCGCATAGATAATGTATAAAATGAATATATA